GAAGGACATTTAAGTAGTTTCCAGCCATGCTTTAAATGTTCACATACAGGGTTTTATGTAAGTTTATGTACCTATTTCTCTGGAGCAAATGCCTACAAGTGAAATCACTAGGTCTTATGGTAAATGTATGTTTAACTTCATGAAGTACTGCCAAACTGTTTTCAAAGTGGCAGTATCATGCTTTATCACCACTGGTAATGTATGAGAGTTTTAATTGCTATGCTTCTTTAACATCGCTTAGTATCTTCAATTTAAAAATTATGTTAGCCATTTTAATTGGTGTATAGTTTATCTCATTCTGGTTTTAATTTGCGTTTTCCCAGAGACATAGTATTGTGCCTTTTCTCATACATTTATTTTTCTTGTATACATCTTCTCTGGTGAAGTTCCTGTTCAAATCTTTTGCCTATTTTTTTTTGCTGTTTTCCTTACTAATTATTGAGTTTTGAGAGTTTTTCTTACAGTGTGTCTGTTTATAAGTCCTTTGTTAGATATGTGATGTACAAATTTCTTTTCAAGCCTGAAACTTGTATTTTCTCTTAAGAATTTATTTCTTAGAGTGAAAATTGTTTTAATTGGAAAAATCCTATTTTTCAAGTTTTTCTAAATGAATTATGCTTTTCATGTCATATTAAATAACTCTTGGCCTAATCAATGGTCATAAAGATTTTCTTCTATCTTTTGTTATAAATGTTTTGTAGTGTTATTTTTAAAAATAGGTCTATGATCTATTTTGAATAGATTCCTTTTTAATGCTAAAAGTTTTTCAGCTCCAATAAAATAGTAGGACTGTTCCTACTATATGTCTTTGAGAAAAATCTAAGGTCCAAAAGCTGCTATGACTTAAACAAGATTTAAAAAGTTGTATCTCTTTGTGTCTGTTCTGTATCAGGAGTTTCTGTTGCTATAACAAAATGTCCAAAACTGCATACTTAAAAAGAAAAGAGGTTTATTTAACTCACAGTTTTGGAGGCTGGAGTTTCAAGACCAAGCAGTCTCATTTGTTCAGCCTCTCGTGAGAACCATTATGGTGAGAGTGCTTGTGAGATTCAAGGGTGCAAGCCTGGGAGGATTCAGGGTATAAGCTCACCCACTCTCTTACAACAACGAACTCTTGTGGGAACTAACTGGGGTCCTCCAAGAACCACATGGTGAATCCCTTTCAAAGCCAGCACACCCAGTGACCTAACCACGTCCCACCAGGCCCTGCCTCTCAAAGGCTCCACTATGTTGGGGAGCAAGGCTCCAACGCATGAACCTTCAGGGGACAAACCACATCAGAACCACAGAACCAATTTATGTTCTTCTAGATCCAACCTGAATTTAAAATTGTTTAAACCTCAGCAGCATCTAGGTACATTTGCAAAGTACAGGACATGACTGTCAAGGTATTTAGTCTATAGCAAGTGCTCAGAGTCTTGTGGAATTAAGGATTCTTTGTAATAACTCTTCCCTTTCTTGGCCAGATAGTGGTTTTCATTTAAAGATCTGGAGTAATGTCTTTCTTTTATAGATAAAGAAACAGAGGTTCAGAGAGAATCAGTGCCCTTTCTAGGGTCAAACAGAATATTGGTGGCAAAGCTAAGTCTGGATCTATGTCTCTGGAATTCGAATTCAGTGTATGCTCTGTTACTGTGCTTATTGAAATGGCCTCTGACTGCTAGAAAGTGAGACATCATCACAGTGACCATTCTTTTGAACATGGCCTTGCATTTTATAAGCTCCTTGAAAGCATGCACTACACCTTTTTTAGCACATAAATGTCCAGTTTTGCCTGTACACTGCTGTCTGCCCTGACATTATAATTGGGGCTGCTAAGGAATAAAAGCTCATTGAACTGATGCTTCCTTATTTTGGGCAAGGAAGAGTTTCAGAGCAAAATAGATCTTCATTTAAAATACTTAGTAGAGTATTGGTTAGATACAGTATGACATAGAGAAAAATCACAGAATTTGACATCAGAAAAAAAAAAACTGGGGTGACACCATGGCTGAGCCACCTACTGAAAGTGGGATCTAGGGCAAGTTACCCAACTTTCTGAGCCTTGATGAAAATAATGAAAAACAACACATACCCCATAGGTTATATGGGTAGATTGAATAAAGTAATGTATATGAGAGCCTGGGAAAGCTGACAAGATACTGATACCCAACCAGTGTAAATTCCACCTGCCTTGCCATTGTTGGAATAAAAATTATTTGTGGAATTTGAAGGCTAAGCCCAGTAAAAAGTGAAAACAAAACTCACAATTAAAGATGAGGGTCAATTATTCTTGGTGGAATAATTATAGACTTGTGCTATAATAATAGAAAAGTTCACGGAGTTCACAAAGTCACAGAGTCAAGGATGCAATCCAAAAAAAGCTATGATGAAAAGAAGTGATCTTTGTAGCAGTTTGTGAAAACGAAATAACATAAACTGCCTTTTTTATGGAGTTATTTCTTTTAGCTCTGGCCTTTGGCTGCAATCTGCACATTTTCACATGTTTCGTTTGCATGCTGCCTTTTTATTTCTCAAAACTGTTCTTAACAATCACAGACAATACTGTGCCAGCACAGATCTTGCCAAGGCCTCAGCCTTGTGAGATATAGGGAAGGGAACAGGGGAGAGCTGGGTCATTTTCCCCAAGCTTAAATGTTTCGTCCCAAAGCAGAATTCAATCAGGATCATTCCAATAAGTGTCCCTTGTTTCCTTGTCTCCAAAACATTCCAGGCCACAGCTTCCTGCCTGACTCTTGCATTTTAATCCCCCTGCTTGGATGGCATTGTGCTCCTGGCATGACATGAATGACTTCTCTCATCCCCCCTCCCTCATCTCCCAGCTTGGGACCGTCATCTGCGGTTGACATTGCAGAGATCCCAATGAATGCTCCTGGGGCTGAGTTGAAGTCAGCGTGTCATTGCCCACCCTTGCCCAACAGGGTGGAAACACCTCACTTGGACTGTCTCTGATTTTTCTTGGCCTTCACAACCTTACATCACCTTTATTTCCTGAGCACCCCCAAACCATCTCTGATCTCCTTTCCTTTATCCAACCTTTCAGGTCTACCCGGTCAGTACTTACCCTCCTCTTCGAGGCCTGGGATGTTCTATCGTGGAATAAATTTAACATTTCATCAACATGACTCTGGCATAAGCAGGTTGGCACTATCCTATTTCTCCTTTCTGTGATCCTATTCTTCATGTTGTTACTCTACTCCTGACTTGTGCGTTGGGTTCCCCCATTTCTCAGGGCCACCCATCTAGCAATTCCTTACCACTTTCCCGCCTTGTGTTTCACTGGATCACGCCAGTCATCAGATTTACTTGTAGCATTGACTTTCCTTGACCCACCAAGTCTCTCTTCCCTCTTCACTGCAAAACATCTGCTATAGGCCTCTACTTCATTGTTCCCTATTTTCCCCTAAACCCACTCCTCTAATTTTCCTTTCACATTTTCCATGGAAACTGCTCTTATCAAGATTACCAGTGACCATTATGTGGCCCAAATCATGCTAATTTCCTCTTCCTTGTTTAATTTGGTCTCTCAGGAGGAGGCCAACTACTCCCTCCTTAAAGCATTGTTCTCAATTGGCTTCCAGTATACCAAGTCTTCCTCTTTCTCTTCTTTTCTCCCTGGCCACTCCTCCTTAGACTCTTTTGCTATTTCTTTCTCATATTCTTGACCTTGAAATACTGCAGGATCTGGGGACCCAACCTTTGGCCCTCTTTCATCTCTGCTTACACGTACTTTCTTGGGAATCTCATCCAGCCTCAAGTGTCAAATACCACCTGTAGGATCATGGTACCCATAGTCCCATAGTTAATATCTTCTTCCTCCGGTAGCCTCAGGAATCACTCTCTTACTTCCTGCAGATCTCAGTTCAAATTTCACCTTATAGAGAGGTCTCCCCAAGCCACTCAAAATAATATATGTCCTCCATTATTCTATCTCCTTACTCTGTTTTATTTTTCTACATAGCACTTTTCTCCCTGTAACACACACTCATTTGTACATTGGAAGCCTTTTGAGAACAGAATATTATCTACCTCACAGAGTGTGCTGCATATAGAAAGCTACCAAAAAGTATTTGTTGAAAAAGCCATGGTCTTAGTCAGTCCTGAAAATACCCCGACAATCCTATCAGAAAGATTATTACAGACCAAGAAACAAAATCAGGTTCACCATTGTCACATAGCTAGCAATGCGGGCAGCCTGACTCTAGCGGACACACCGCCTAGTGAACTACAGAGGCTACAAGGAACTGTGGAGTCCTGGTCACCTGAGTGCTCCTACTAGGTGCAGAGTTATCTTGGGGACAATAGAGAACCATTGAAATGGTGGTGGCTGTGGGAGGCAGGGTGAGTTGGTGGCAAAATGCCCTTGGTAAGGTGCTGGCACCATCCCATATAGGCACAAAATTGCCCATCTCCAGTTCCTCGGTAAGTAAAGCAGACTAAGTGAGACTATGTTGGTGGAAAGTTTAGGCTGGCTGTGCTTTATACTTTGCTAGCATCAGACTGACCTGTGCTAACAGTGTTTAAGTCAGATTTAGTTAAAAGCTTCAAATCAAGTTTTCCTTGAGGTCTGTGAAATTGAAAACCTCTCTTGCTGTTTTCATAGCTGTCTGATAGCTGACATAATTCCTAAAGAAGCTGATACATTAATGTCCAAGAACCATTTTCTGTGCTCATGTGCTGCTGAATCAAAATGCCATGATTTGAGCTAAACATACAGCAAAATATTATGCTATTAAAAGAACATACCATGGTTCAAACTATAGTTAAAGAGGATAGAATTTCCAAAAATCTAATTGAATGGACTTTTAAAATATCCATATTTTAAACATTTGACATTTTGAAGTTCATGTGCAATGAATTCTGACAATTCAGATCCCTTACACATGGGGATTTTAAGAAATAAGAGATATTTCCATGTAGGCAATAGATGAATTTGGTTAACAGATGCTAAAATCCACTATGTTTCCACGGTGAAATGTACTGCTTTTTCTGTTTTAAAGGGACCCAGCTGTTCATCCTCCAATACCACCAAAGCCGAGTTCTCCTATTTCTTCTCCTAAACCACCGAGAAAAGAGAATAGGTAAGACCTAACACTGCAGGCTTTGTTGCAAAAATTAAGTTTAAGGAAAATGAGAAAAAAGAAATAGTTACCTGCTTTGTGCAAAGCATGGGTATGTTTTGGGTGCACATTTACTAGTGAGGCATTCATAGAGCTTTTTCTATGTTATCTGTGAGCACACCTGTGTATTTCTGTTTGCTTTTGAATACTGATGCCTATTATCTTATGAAAACACATCTTTAAGATATAAATGAATAATAGTCATGCAAGAAGTATTTGGTCTCAGGCCTCTTACATATTAACTTTGAATGTATACATATAAATATGTGTGTATTGGGCATATATATTTTATATATCTACAATGTAAATAAATGCATATTAAATATATATGATTTGTATTTACTCCTGGTTAAATTAATGTATCATTAAGAGCTACATTTCTGATGAAAGATATTCTTAAAACTTTCTGTTACCGCCTGGATCCTCATTATGTCAGAAAAATTGGGTTGTTCTTTAATATTTTTAGCTAAGCAATTTTCAATTTATTTCAAATTTTGAACAATTTTCTAGTTAACTTGTCTCAGAATCAAGACAGTCTTGCTTTTCCACTTTAAATCTCTGCCACTCTATCATTCATACTTAGACACCAACTCAGAGACCTGAAAATCTTCCCATGTGTTCCTGTTAAACTGTTTAATAATCTTGAACCATTTTGAAAGATGTAACTTCCACATTTCCATTATTACCGTGAGATTGAAAAATGGTATCTCAGTAAAGACTGAATACATTAGATTTGCTTGATTGCCTGGCTTTGAGTCTTTTGTACTTGTGCTTCTTGATGGTGGGTTTTTTTTGACACCATGTAAGACACAATTGTAGAACTGTTCTTGAATAAGTCACAATGACAGAACTGTTCTTTAGGAAGAAGGTAACCAGCTAGAAAATGCTGACTGTGAAGCAGGGCTATGGAGCAGTAGGTGTTCATACTGTTGGGGTAAAACTAAACTTCTGTTCAGTGAAACTTCACAGGATATTTGGAAATTTATTCTTGGATGAGAGCGTAGTTATTTTAATTGAGTCAAGAGAATATGTCTTCACTGAACTCATTAATAATACATACTAGATTTATGGCTTTTCATTTGTACAATGATTATAATTATCCCATAAAAAATAACTCCTCAAGTTTTTTATTTTACCCGATTTTTCCTTTACTCTTATAACATTGAACAATTAAATTTCAATTTGAACAGGAGTTCTTAAAGAGCTAAAATAAATTATCCTTCTACCTCCAAAATTCTAATCTAAAATCAATGACGCTAACACAGTCAGCTTGTTTAGCTTCAAAAGAAGCTAAATTTCACAGGAATTGGTTTAGTCTGCTTTTACCACTCTAATTTTTTTCTTCACCAGTCATCTAAAAAATAAAATTGGGTTTACTTTCATGTTTTTTAAACCCTGATTACTTTAATCACAGCAAAATGATTTTAATGAAAGCATATGAAAGGGAAGTGTTTCCTATGTAATTAACACACATCCTCAGGAGAACAAAAAATAGCTTGCGAACAAGCAGGAACGTATAAGTAGGTCAACCAGGTACTAAGAAGAAGTATTTTACATTGCAACAGAACCTAGCATCATCAAATTTAATGCTAATATGGCTATTTTCAATGTGGTAGGTGTATATGAAAGATAGAGTTTTTGATGGTACTTAAATTGAATAAATCCTTAAGAGAAACATCATCCCTTTAATGGCTAATAACAAGAAGATTGTTGATGTTTTCAAATATTATCTTATTATCTAATAGAGATAAGTATGAAAATGCTCTGATGAAAGGAGACCAAACAAATAAACATAAAAATATGTGGAAAAGATATGTACAGATACAGCCTGTAATTTAGAAATATATGAAATTATAAAATTATTACATTGGATTCTTTAGATTTTCAAATGCAACATAGTTGAGTTTTAGCCAACCCAAAGAACTCAGGAAAAGTTATGTCAAATAGTTGTGTTTTCAATACATGTCAATCTTTTTTGAATATGTGTCTCCTTATAAATTTGAATTTAACAGAGAAGCCTTTTCTTACCTAGCAGACATTATCTTTAAAATTATAGGCAGATAAAGCCACCTAAACAACAGATCTACTGAAAGAAATAAAAGGTACAATTAGTTATATCTATATGGATATAATTATAGCAATGATAAAGTATGCTTCATTAGAACACTTTGAAAGTACAAAACAATAAATAGAAAAGATTAATTTTTCAGCTTACTTCAACATACTGAGTAATAAATTCTTTAATAGGTACTTACAGAATTTTGTTCCTTATATTTTTATCCTAATCTTTGCATTAAGAAAACAACCAAAATTGTCTGAACATGGTAACAGAATAAGACTAAAACCCTTGCAGGAAGGAAAGTATGTTCACCTCTTAATTCCCAGCACTTGCCCCAAGCTCTATGACACAGTTGGTGTGAGTGGATAAGTGAAGAAGTGGAAATATAGTCATTGAGTTGGACTTGTGCCACAGCAGCTTTGCCTAGTATTAGCTGTAGAAAGTCATGTCCAGCATCAGGGACAGGCTTACAAATTGTCTTTATTTCTCTGGGTAAATTGACATTTGCCAAGTGTGTGTGCTCTCGATGTCAGTTCTGATTTATACCTGTTGTCTTATGTATCCTATCTAGTTCAGTTTTCCTGCAAATGGCTCAAGTTTATCTTTATTTCTAGCAGAGTAGTACATACTCCATTGCATACAAATACCACAGCTTTGTCTATTCATCTGTTTATGGATATAGAGGCTGTTTCCAAGATTTAGCTATTATGAGTTATGCTGCTATACATATGGGTATACATGTATCACTATAATATCATGTCTTTAACTGTTTTCAGGAAGATACCTGGAAGGGGAATAGCTGTGTTAGAATTTCTAGTTTTAGCTTTTTTGAGGAATCTCCATACTGATTTCCATAGTGGTTATGCTAGTTTACATGCCTACCAACAATATAAAAGATTTCCTTTCTGCCAGCAGCCTCTCCAGCATTTGTTATTATTTGAAGTCTTGATAATAGCCATTCTTTTCAGAGTAAGATGGAATCTCAGCATTGTTTTAATTTAATGGCCAGTGATGTTGAACATTTTTAAATGTATTTATTGGCCATTTGTACTTTTTTTGACAAATGTCTATTCATTTAAGTTATCCATTTTTTGATTGGGTCTTTCATTTTGGGAGATCTAATTTTTTTAGTTCATTGTATATTCTAGATATTAGTCCTTTGTCTAAGGAATACCTGGAAAAATTGTTTTCCCATGCTGTAGGTTGTTTTTTCACTTTTTTTGGTGGTTTTCTTTGTTATGTAGATTTTAATTTTGATATAATCTCGATTATTGATTCTTGATACAATTCCTTGCAGGCAAGTATTTTAACTGAGAAATTTTTTGAAGTTCAAAATTTACACACTTTTTTTGGGCATTATTCACTTTCATTCTCAGAAGAATTCAGGTTGGAAACACACACCACATGGATATACCTTGCTTTTGCAGGGGAAATTAAATTTCAAGGGGAAATTAAACATTTTCCAAACTGCCCCACGTACCACATGATGTCAATGTGTGTACTGTAAAAGAAAGATTTTACTTGAAATCAATGGTTTAATAGTATGTTTAGGAAAGACAATTAAATAGTGTCCTTTGCAGTAAGACTTCTCACAATCTTTGGCATGCTCATATGTATTCTGATGCACCAAAAGTAGGTTACATTTGCCAAACTTGATGACAAAATTCTGTCTTCATGGAACTCTATTAACCTTCTATGAAACATTTGTAAAAAACATGTCTTAATTACAAGGGAACCTATGTGAATTTTCTTAATTATTCCTTTTCATAGTCTAGGGGGATCAGCATGAGTCTAAGCCCTTTATGTCTCAGGTGTTTCCACCTAGCCCATAGTTTAAAATGTACTTCTTTTTCCCTTGGAATCTTGAGAAGACAGATATTTTCACACCATTTGAGGGACTAATTGTCTGTCCTTGTGGCTTAATTGTCCTTGAGGCTTAATTGTCCTTGAATCTGGAAAAAAAACTACTGAACTTGCTTCCGTGTTTACCGGTACAATTAGTGAATTTTCTTTTCCAGGTTTTAAGTTTGGAATGTGGGAGCCACTGATAATAATCTTTAGGAGAAAATGTAGTTATTTCAGTGAGCACTAGATGGCAGAGCTAGCCCCCAGGCTGCATGACAAAGAGTAGGTTGCATGTGTGTTTTCCCATATGTGTTTGTGTCAATGGGGGATGCACGTGCCTGTGTGTGCCATGAGCCAGTAGGATAGAATCATTTTGTTATTCTACCAAACTCAATAATTCATGAAGAACACATTAACTGTCACTTTCTTCATTAGAAACAAATGAGAAATCAAAGCTACTTCAAAACTAACTCTGTTGTCTGTTGACTTATCTCTTTTTTCCATTGTTTGAAGGACTCAGGATCTTGATGGCATTGTCAAGGTGACAACATCACTTCAGGAAACTGACAAGGGGTGAGATCTCAAAGCTTGTGACCTTGATTTTTCCTTCTCTGTGTGTTTCAAAAATGTCTACCTGATACCTTTAAGAGTCCCAAATATGAACAAATCCCCAATGCTATTTATTACCTATAATTTAGAAGAAGAAAGTATCATTGTCTCTGCATAGGTATCCTTGAATAATAGATGGAACTGACATTTATGGACATTCTTTCTCTCCTTTTTCTTCTGGCGATTTTACTCATCCCGGGGACCTCAACTGTCTAACCTCATTCCAGATCTCAGTCCTGCATTTGTGCTGCTGGCCCAGGCCTCTCCTTAGCTGTCTTCCCCAAACCCTCATTTAGGATGTCTTAGGCCATGTTCAACTTCCTTCCCCCAAAAATGCTATTTCCAGACTTCATTGTTTGATTCCTGCGGGCTCAGAATTCTGGGATTATTCTTGGCTCTTTCATCCCCTCCCCGACTATGTGGCACAAGTGAACTACATGTCTAAGATGTCTGTCATGCACAGGTCACCTCACTCCAGCTCAAACCTGCATTGATTCCCATGTAGGTGATTATAGCAGCTATCAGATTTTCTAATACTCCTTCAGCCTTTCCTTCCTCTAAGTCATTTCTATCCAGAAATGCCACAGTTTTTTTTCTGTGGATTTCCACTCCATTACACATAATCTCATTCAAGCCCTTTGCTAACTTGGCTTCAGCCTAATGTTCCAGTTAATTCTGACCACATGTATTTATTCTACATTAAAAATGAGATTACTTTACTTTTTTCTATGGTTACTAGATACTCTGCCTTTGTTTATGCTGTTCCATCCACGTGGCAATCTTTTCCAGCCTCAAGGCTGCTATGTCAGTCCATCCAGGTCCTACCATTTTCCAAGATGCAATCAAATATCACCTCCTCTGTGAAATCTTCCCTGAGTGGTCCAGTGAGATGTGAATTTTGCCTATCAAAGTGATCAGAGCCCCACAGTTTATATTTTAAAATGCTTAATCATGTCTGCTTTTGTTTCATGCTATTTGTGCAAATGTGTCATCTTCCCTATCCTCATAATCTTCGGGGCAGATATCTTTTCTTATTCACCAATGTCATTTGCAGTGTCTGACATGCTGCCTTGTCCAAATGAGGCATTTATATTGTAGATTGTGGTAAAATCCTGATGAGCAGTGAGAAAGCCTTGAAGATAAATACTCTATGGTTTAAATCCAAAACCAGCAGTGTTTTTTCTGTGTTTAATGTAGTTTGGTAATGATAAGATTATTGCTAGAGATTGTTGTCTCAGTCAAAATAATGGAAAAAAAAGAAACAAAGGGTCCCTTGGCTTTTCTGTGAAAATTCATAAGCCAATAGGAGCTCTGCATGCAGAAGGAGACTAGAAAGTATTATTAGCATTTCATTTCCATTTCTCTCTCCTCTAAGTTCCTAGAGCTCTAATTTTATTAATTTACTTTTGTTTAAGGTGATACTTTGTTTTCAGCAGGAACTGAACAGCTTTCTGGTGGATGATTAGAATGTTTGAGGGAGAGATGAATGATGCTTAAGGGAAATGATGGTTTGGCATAAACCAAAAACAATGACAACAGCAGTTGGCTTGACTTTCCTGTCTGTCCCCACTCCCTAACCACAATGCACAAATTTCACAACTGCATACATTCATCACAGAGAGAAGTTGCTGGACCAGGGATAATGTACTATGATGTCCATTAGGAATAGGAATGGCTTTATTTATTCAAATTGCTCTTTGTGGAATAGAATGTTACTGATAATCTGATTAAGAGTATTAAATGTGTTGCAAATGCAGTGGTGGAACTTAATATCCAAGCTTCTTATCAATTTACAGTCATTTTGAAAGCCCAAGTTCTTTATTTAGAATGCAGTCTCCATTTTATTTAGTTTGCCACAGAGTGTGTTCTCATGACTTTTGCTAATTTTCTGGTGATAAACACGAACAATCCCAGGTCCCGGGAACCTCATTATTGTGGCTCATGCCAGTCAGAATAGTCTGGGGCTAAACTTTACAGAAGTCTTAGGTTTTTTCTTTCTCTCTGGGTACAGAGTTGTAGGTAGAACTTCAAGTAACAAACAACAGATCACTAGGTCAGGGGAATGGGTAGTGTTTGTCCCTTATAAAGGTAGAACATTAGTCAATTTTTTTTTTTTGGTCAGGGATAGCAAGTTTGTATTTCACTATTTATTCTCAGCCTTCAACCCTATTATGGAGTATGTAAGATTACTGAAGAAAATTCACCTGTGTGATGGCTGTTTACATATTTCTAGGATCTCTAAGAAGACTGCCCAGGACAACTATTCTGATGATGTTATGTTGCATATAAGTGACTCAGCCACTATACATTGCTAAGGATAATATGTTTCCATATCTCTAAATTCAATTAAAATTAATATAGCAAATATTTATTAAATTAAACATTCAGTATTTACAGGGTTCTATTTATTAAAATGGCCAAAATTAATTGAGAATTTATGATTTGACAGGAACCGTACCAAGTACCACATGTTCATTAACTTACCAGTTTTCTTCTGAGATGAGTATGATTAGCATTCCCATTTTACAGATGGAAAACTGAGAGCAACTCATCTAGGGTCACTAATGAATAAATGGCGAATCCCAGATTGGAATGAAGGTGTCTCTGATTCTGGTGCCTCAGTGTGTCTTCACTGAGTGTCCACATCTCACGGCCTGCTGATCAACACTCAAGATGACTTGAGAAATGTTGGAAAATGTGTAATCCTAGAGCAGCAAAAAGAACCAAGATTTGTGAATGAAAAGACTAAGTGAGAAGGCGAGAGGAATGTGAGGGGAGAGGAAGTGGGAGAGAATAGTAGGGCAGAAGACACTGAGGAGGAGTGAACATGAGCAACTAAGAGCAATCTCAGGGAGAGTCTACCTCCCCAAGGGCGCCTGCTCGGGAGAGAGCTGAGCCCATGTGTCTAAGGGAAATCTCTGAATTCAGACACTTAGCTTAAATAGGCTGCTCCCAAAAAAGCAACCAGAAATGGCTCTTGTAGTTCTCCAATATGGAAATAGACTAGCACATTTAGCTGATCTGGAATGAGATGGTAGTAGAATTCAAGAATCCAGACTTAGAGATGAGCAAGCACATTCCAATAGCTACTTTATGTGCAAGTACACCATGCAAAGATATAATCTATTATTGGTCAATATGTCTATATTTGTTGACTTAGTTAAATTACTATTAAGCATCTACTTAAAGACTGAAGAGGATGCAATGTAAAATACAATTCAAAATTGGGACAGGAGCATGAACATGAGCCAACTGCTACACTACAAAGTGTAGTTAATGCAAGTCCATAAAGGATATGCAAAAAAATCTGAAATGCTACAAAGGTTCCAACAATGTAGTGGAGTCTGTTCATTTGGAGCAATAGAGAAGGCTTCTTTGAAGGGAGACAGGTATTTAAGAACAGCCTTAAAGGATAAACACGGCCTAGTGGCAATTCTGTTATAGTCAGTAACTCAGAATTATTCTAAGGTTTATCTGTCCTTTGACTCTGAGTAGGCTTTTAGTAATGTGAGATTTTTTTTCTCTCTTCCAAAAGTAAAGAGTTGGACAATGTCATCAAAATGAATAAAAGCTTGAACAGGTAATATTTTAAGATGTCTATTTTTTGTTTTATTACTGAATTGTACATTGTGACTTCTTGTATATTTTCAGTCTTTGACCATGAGAAAGCACATACCAGGCTAGTCAAAAATATTAGAAATCTTGGATAAAAAGCTTGCAGAACTGATCATTTCATCATTATTGTGAATGGTTATTAAAGTCTGAAGACATCAATATTAAAATGTCTTCGATTTTTACACTCCATGTTTTTACTAAAGCAATTATATGAATGACCACATTTCTCTTCCTGAAATATTAATACATTCATAATACAGTTTGGTTTGGTTAGTAAATACTTTTACTTTAGCCATTTCAAAACCCACTAATATCTTACTTAACATTATCTCCTTATTTTGAATCATTTAGATTTGTAAAGCTTAAAAAATACTAGGAAAGAAAAACAAATGGAGACAGAAAGGATATGTATAGTTTTAGTTATCTCTGTTATGAAATATGCTAACCAATTTTAGTGTATGTGCTGCCGAAGTGAGCACTAAGTATGCTAACCAAATAAACTGGTGGGAACCAAAAAAGAAGGAGAAAATAAAGAAAATGTCAAGTGAACTAATTGATCTGAGAATGACATATGGTTTTCATATCTTGTTCTCATACTGACGATCTGTAAAACGATTGACAAGTCACTGAAATTTGCTGCTTTTCAGTTGCCTCACTTACAAAGAGAGGAGGTTTTAAATCAGGGAGTCGCAGAAGATGAGACAGTGGAGGTGGCTGACTGTAGGAGACATAGCTAGTAGTGGAACTAGGGCAAGAAGAGCCACTGTCCTGTCAAAAGTACCTGGCTGCCTTCTCAGCTGCAGGTGAGGTTCCCATGTAGGAATGTGGGTCCCTGCTGCAGGAGAGCCCGAAAATCCAGGCCTGTGGCCAAGTTTTGTGCCATCTCTGTGAAAACACTAACTCACATTCAAAATAAAAACACACAACACAACACATCCATGGACCTGTTGTGGCTTGCAAATCCCCAGTTTATGTTTTTTACTTTGTTTCTCTAGCATCTGCAATTTAAACTTTTAGCCTTTGCTTGGAGTAAAGCAATTTCAAGAATTGTGGCTCATCTTTCACAACCAGCTTCTATTTCCTGTTTTAGATGTAAACTGATCTATGTTTTTAGAGTTTAGCATCTGTTATTATTACTGATTGAGATTTTTAATCAATATATTTAAAGAAATCAAGGTCTTGATGGTCTCTTCAGAGCGAATTGGAAGGCAGAGCAAACAGAGAAAAGGTAAGTGCATCTGTCTCCAATCTGCAAATCCTGTCTCCCAGATTGCTTGTCTTATTCCTTCAGGCACTAGCTGAAAGGGAACTGCATCCCCTGGCATGGAAATTAATTAGCAGATGGGCTAGCACTCTCCACAGTGTACATTTAGTTCAGACATAATTGCCCAGAAGGATCTCTACTCTTTCATTCAGTGAGAGTAAATGAGCAATTCATGGAAAATGTTTATTGTATCTGACTTTTCAAGATACCACACAATTTCATTACAATATTCAAGATTTTATTGGAGTTTTTCTGTTTTTATAGAGCTAGTAGTCTTGAAAATCTCATCTATGTGAATACACAGATGGACAAAGACTTCAAAGGGTAAGTTTCAATCAAAACCAAGATAAGCACTTACATTGTGTCTTAAATTGTCTACTGTTTTCTGGGGGGCACCTCTTAGGGCGAGTGAAGGGGTTCTGGATTAGGGTCCAGCGATGACAGGTGTGTTCGTGGTGTCTTTCCCATTGCCATTGATGTGAGTGCCCCTAGCCAAGTGGCTTAACCTTTGTGGAGTTCTGTTTCATCTCATAAAATGGCATGCCTAACATAGATGATCTCCTAGTTCCCATTTATATCTAAAAATGAAAGAAATCCAAACTAGCTGCTTTAAGTAGAGGACAATAGTCTTGTTTATGAAGAATCTTTATCATAAGACACTTAGGTTCTTGGAACATGGCCACTCACCACTAAAATGTACAAGGCACTTTTCAGTTGGAATCTTGGTAGCACTTCATATGTATATCTCTTTATATATATTTGTAAATACCTTATGATCAAAAGCCATGCTTTTATTTATTTCATATCATAAAATGGGTTAGTAATGGTGAGTAACTGAATTAGTAGCATGTGAGAAATTAACTTGTAGTTTTAGACTAATTCTGATACACTAGAAAATTGAATTTCTTACTGGTACTACATTTCATCTTGAAAGAAACCACACTCTTCACAGTTTCATTAAAGAAAAATCCAGAATAGTCAAGGATGACAAAAGGTAAAGACTTAAAAGATTTCTAATATTTTCCCCTAGATTGACTGATTACTTTGTATTTCATTAGTCATTAAATTTACCTTTCTAACATGATAATTATTTCTATTGTCACATTTATCTTAGAATACCATTTATCTGGGCCAATCTGTGCACAGAATGGTATTCTAGCTTTCCAAGTCAATATTGGCAAATATATTCTCAACTCTTTCTCTTATGGAACACTTAACAAAATCTATGTGATATAAAGTGTTGGCATCGACAATCACACAGACACAGGATGCTGATTAAAAATATATTACATTACAGTATGTAAACATGACATATTACAGGTGATTTTTTTCAAATGGAGCATAGATGAAGGAAAAGCAGTCAGTTCTCTTCAAGTGTTTATATGGAAAAGATGAGGTTTCAGGAATTTAAAATCATAGAGTTTGGAAAGCTCCACAAAAGTGATGGAGAATAGGAAAAGTAGCTTGAGCATCACAAATACATCATTTTAGGACTAGGAAAGAGAAAAGAAAGGTGATTTGTAATCTGGGACAACTTGATAACTGGACTCTGTGTGTGTGTGTGTGTGTGTGTGTGTGTGTGTGTGTGTTATTGATACTTGGGATTGAATCCAGGGCCTTCACACTAAGCTATATCCTCAGTCCATCTCACTCCATTTCTTTCTCTTTTTTTTTTGAAACAGGATCTTGCTAGCTCAAAATTACAATCCTCCTGCCTCAGTTTCCCAGAGTGCTGGTTATACAGACCTGTGCCACCAAGCCCAGCTTTCTTCTTAAGTATTTTAGGAGAAATGCCTGGTCTAAATTCTCAATATACTTACATTCAAATGGTGATCAGTTGATTTCCACCCAAATTCAAATAATTTTCATGCTTAAATAAGACAGCATCTCAATGTATATATTAAAGGCCAGTCCCTCCCCACTTAAAACTTACCATCAAAAAGCCAAAAGCTGAGACCTAGAGGAAATTTCCTTTTAAGGTGATTCAATCATAACTGAGTAATGGTTGGAATCTTGATATCAAGATGTCTCTCGAGTATTTTGCACGAGTTGAATATTGATACAGCCACTTGAATACTTCTAAGAACGTCTAATCCTTTACACTGATTTCATCTTGCTGCTATTCTGTGAGATCTGCTGTTATCATAAGAGACTCTGAAAATAGCACTGAGTTGTTTTACATTTCATTCTCTTTCCTGCACTGTCTTTTCTTTTTTTCCTGATATTATATAGAAACCAAAGCCTTGGAAGTCTTAATAAAGTTAATCAAAGGACTGGCAAAAATGAAAAAGGGTAAGTAAAACTCCTATCTTGCTGGAGCTCTTTTTTTCAAGTTAGCTTCTTATGCCTCATTAAAAAGGTGAATGCCTTACTTCCTCTGCCACTGATAGCCTGTTCAGACCCAACAGAGACAGCAAATATGAGAGCTCTTTCTATAGAACCACAGGCTTGAGTTGCACTGAAGTCGGTGCAGGAAAACTTGCTACATTATCTCTTATTTAGATTTTCTTAGGTAATTAAAAATGAGCCAAGTTTTCGATATAAATTAAGAAATAGAAGGTCAAAATTGCACAGTGAGAGGAGTTGGGATACTTTTCTAAACTGATTTAGACTAGAGTAAATCAAGCACTGCTGTAGAAATGAATAAATTTAAGGTTAACTATGTTAAAGGTCTTTCTGGTTCTGGAGACATCTGACATCATATTTAGGCACATTCTTCTTTATTCAGATCTCAAGGAAAATTGCATGTAAACTAACTGATACCAAATTTTGATTTTGTACCCCCAAAGAAGACGAGATCTTGAATCTATCACCAAAGTGTATACCAGCACAGATGAAACCAGCAGAGGGTGAGAAGTGTGTGGATATCTCTGAATGTTGGCTATCTTCTCCCAGATTGATTGATATCTTTTCAGTAATACTGAAGGTGTCACATCTTTGGGTTCATCTTCTCTTGTCCATGTCTCATCTCTGATGCCTGATCTTTACTTTGAAGGGTCTATATTATATTTTATCTAAATTCACTTTTACATATATCCCAATAAAAACTAGAGATTGATTAACTCTATTATCATTAGGTAATTTTATACTAATAATCAATTTAATATCAGTATTATAATTTTCCCTGAAAGATTTGGTTAATCATCAATAATATGGATTGTGTAGTGTGTATCTAATATTTTGAAACAGATCTAAACGTTTTTAAAGAGGTAAAGATCTTGATAATATTATTGAAGGCAATCCCAAAAGAAATGAAAATATCACTGGGTGAGACTTATTAATGTCTTTAATTCTATTTTCTACAAGAGATGGTCAATTGAAAGATGAAATAATTTGGCTTTTTATCTTCACAACCACATTTTATCAGCATGAAATTGGACAATATAGATGGACTATCCCTCCCCGCCCCCTGTAAAAGCACTTATTTTTGAAGAAATGCTCCAATATTTGCTTGTGAGTTGCCTTCTGGGGCCCCATCCTTACGGGACCTCAGGTGCAATGTCATTGGGTAAGGCTGCCATGTCAATACAGCTGCTAGTGGGAAACTATATGGTGGTGAGGACCCGCATTTTCAGTGTGGTGACTGGCTCCCCAAGTCCTCTTCCACCTCTTTTGTGTTCCGTTTATACCTGTTTCACTCAATGCATTTTAATGGGGTGTAATGTGTCCTCCTGAGAAATGAATCATTAATTTTCCTACTCTGTAAGGTATTTTTTTCCTTGCCCTTTGTTACCACAATCGACTCTGAAACAAATGATATTTTACAAAGCTTTGCCTGGAGGCGGGAATAGTTATGAAGGCACATTTTCTTAAATATCATTATTTCTAACATTGTTAAATTATCATTATTGATATTTTTATGATTATTTAAAATTAGAACAGGCAATTTTATCTTATTTGTTGAGTAAAAGTTTATATTTGCTCTGGACTCAGTATAGAACTTCATTTGACTTACAGTTACTTCAATGTTGCTTACTTGGGGTGTTGTAGCAAGATATGACTGAGGACAAAGTTGTTCAATGACAACTTTCACATATATTTATGCATTCTGAGGACAAAAAAATATGGTTCTTGTTAACAAATAAATAGCCTTAAATGGTCCTGTGCTCAAGATGTAAGAGAAGAATTTCCATCTTCATTTAGAGATTTAAATATTTACACTGACACCAAGAGTTTGTATATTTACCCCTTCTCAATTTTTTCAACCCTTATGCATTTTATTAGTGTTTTACTTTAACAACATTTATTAAAACTAATTTCTTTATTCAAAGAAAGCAAGATTTTGATGAGCTTACTAAAGTGAATCTTGAAACAAATAAAAACATCAAAAGGTAAGATATTTAAAGCTGTCTTTTCCCTTTTTTTTTTTTTGGTACCGGGGATCAAACTCGGTCCTTGCGCTTGCGCAGCAGGCAGCGAAACCACTGAGCTAAATGCCCAGCAGTCTGCTCCCTTTTGTATGTCACTTATAAGCACATTAGACTTCTCAGTGCCTGTGTTCAGGACAGTGAATTGAAGTTGCAGCCCAAATTGAGCTCTTTTCTCTCCAACTCTGTACACATGATGCCGAGATTTTCTCTTGCAATTTATTCTTGGGTGGTGTGCTATCCAATAATTTTGAGAAATTAAGTGGTAATTTGAATGATATTATCTACTGAGCTCAATCATTTATTTTTTGTGTGCACATGTGATTGTACATGTGTATAAGTTTGTGTATGTGTCAGCAGTGTGGGGAGTATGTGTATATATAAGTATACACAGTATATGTATAAATATGTGTTTAAGTATATGTCTAAGTAGTGTGCATCCATATAAAGGTGAGTATGTATCAATAGTTTGCATGTACAAGTACATATGTGTGTGCATTTATAAGTAGTGTGTATGAACTAAGTGTCTGGAGTATTTGTGTGTGTGGTAATGTGCATATGCAAGCAGTGTGGTGTGTATTTACAGATGAGATGATTAACAATTGGGCTTGATTAAAAAAATGTTTTACTCATGAAAGGTCAAGTAAGTCTGGAGAGCTTATGTCCTTTTGCTTTTTATTTTTTAAAAAGCAGATGGAAGATTTTTTAAACTGATCTTATTGGCATGTGGCTAAAGACAGTGTACCAAACAGTTCCATGTGGTTCCCCTTGAACTCATCTTCATTCAATTAACTCAGTACATGATGTAATTTGTTGATTCTACAGAGTGTCACCAATGTCTACGGGCCCTGTTGGCACAGCAGGGGCTCAGCTAGCTAAAAGCTGGTGTGCACGCTGTTCAGCTGTCTTGCTTTTGCCCATGCAGTATGGTCAGAGGCACAACTACTGGATGGATTAGAGGCTTGTACAATCTTACACCTAACAGGCTGGTAAGAAAGTGTTGATTACGTTGGCTGCCTGGATGGTTCATGGAGGTAACCTGAGGTTGGAAGTCTGAGAAAGGATTCTGAAAGACCTGGGTTCAAATTCTGTCTCTGGTTAACTATGTACCTGTACCTCAATTTACTCATCATAATACAAGGATCATAATGCACTCATGGCTGCTGCTTACTAGACAAAAGTCATTGTTATAATGGTAAAAACTCAGGTGAATTGTATTTTTTTAATGATTTAGATAATATTCAAATACATTGAATTTATTTTGACTTCCAAGAAACATCTGTTTTCCTTCCAGTTTTTATTAGAGTATTTCAAATTGTGACCATTTTTCTTAATATGTCAGAGTGAGGGTGTGTACATGCCTATGTATGCATATATACTGTGTATAGATACAACTGTGTGCACGAGTACATTTATGTGTATGCATGAGTATGTGCGTGTGTATGTTGTGCATGAGTGTAATTGCATACATGTGCACAATGCTTGTATTTTCATGAATGCATAGGCAAGCATGTGTGTATTTTTGTGTGTATATGATGATGCACACATACATAGATGTGTGTGCTTGTTCATGTGTCAGTGTATGTGTTGTGTGCATGTATGTGTTTCATGGGGTTTTTAAGTGTAATAGATGTTTTGAAGTGTAATAGGTCCTTTTTTCTACACATAATGAAGTTCTGTACATCCTTCAAAAAAAGTCAGATTCTGTACTTTTCCTTTTAGAAAGATTTCAACATTCCTCTATGTCAAGTAAAATAAAATTCTAATGTTTAATAAAGGCCTTTCACTTTCTCAATAAAGCCCTGCCAAATGCATCTTTCCTGTCCTGGGTCATTCTTGCCTTAAGGCCTCTTCATATACTGTTCCTACTTCCTGGAATGCACTATCCTATATTGTCAGGTTTGGAATCAGGTCATTTCTGACCATTGAATGTAATTAAATCATTCCTCCTCCCTTGACTGCAGTACTGGGCACAAGGCACTCTTTTTTCTTTTCTTCATAGCATGTATTTTCATCTGAAATTGTGACATTCATTTATATATCTGTTTCGTGCCTCTCCCCAAATTGGAGTGGCAGCCTCTAGTAGGCTTGTCCTCTGTCTGTACAGATCGCACTGATCTTAGCACTGCAGTGCAGTGTGGTTTGTGTCCTCTGTACTTTCCAGTTTGTGAATTGAAATATGGTGAAGATACAAGGAGTGATCAAAATGTATGATGAAGTTTAAATTTTAAAAATTTATTACAGTAAAAGACACATTGCCACCAGGTATGGTGGCTTATGCCTGTAATCCCAGCATTTGTGAGGCTGAGACAAGAGGATCACCATGAGTTCAAGGCCAGTCTGAGCTACATAGTGAGTTCAAGGCCAACCTGAAGTACATAGCGAGATTCTGTCTCACCCCATCCCCCAAAGACACATTGCCATTAAGCCCTCTTAAAATACTGCTGTTCACTCAGAACACACCAATCCCATCATTTTTGCATCTTTCTGAAACAGGAAATTCTCTTTCTTGAGTGTCTTTATGAAGTATAATCAAATATTCGGTGAATGATACTGCTGAGTGGCATTCAATGGAAAGGCAGGCTTGTAAAAGGATTATGGCGTGTTTTTATCCGCCTTATTCCCTGGATCTGACACAGTCTGATTTCTAGCTCTCCCCTAAATTCAGTATAACCATGGAAGGCAAACATTTTGAATCAATTTAAGACTTCAAGGTAGCCACAACTGTGCATCTAGATACTCATGAAAGAGGCCTTCCAGGACTACTTCAGAAAGTGGCAAGTACAATGGGATAAGTGTTTAAAGGGAGGAAGAATATCCTCAGGGACATTCATGGCAATGTGTTCTTTATTGTAATACATTTAAAAATTTTAAATATTCTCTGTAGTTTTCAGTTACACCTTGTACATAACAGTATGAGACATTGTTTCCCAGAGTTAAGCTCAAATATTATATCATTATGTTAATTAGATTACCACACTAATTAGTTCACTTTTCTTTATTGACTTTATGAACTAAGAAACTGAAATAACCTCTTACTGTTATATACCTCATTTAATATTTAAAGAGATTAAGTCTTGAAATATAGTTAAAACAATATAATGAAATATAAGAAATTATAAGTTACTGTTCTGCTATTTTTTAAACTTTCAAGTCTAGAAAGAGAAACCTGAGAATGTTTTCCTCAGGTCCTGGCATTCAAAACCTATATATTTTTAGGTAAAAATCAACAGGGAGCAATCTGGAATAGAGTGGCTGTTGCTTGGGGGTTGTTTCATTTTTTGCAAGGCGAAAGCTACATTTTTTGTTGCTGCTTTTTAGTCTGAGTTTCATATCACAGACATCTAGATACACGCAAAAAACTTGGATCAACATCTGGTTGCTTCCAAATATCTGTAACTTTGATGTTGTATAGATGACACCTCTGAGACTTTTTGATATGTTCTTCGTAGGGTCACAGAGTGTGGAGTATAATGAAAGAACCCTCCTCTGGATGCGCTTTCCCCCATGTGCCAGCCTCTGTAGATCAGAGGGGCATTTGTCGGTGCTGGATATGTGGAGAACACATGTAGATGCAATAAGCAAAGCAAAATTCCAGTAAGAGCAGAAGCAGATGTATACTAAAGGATAACAATAAAATACTGAAGTGTTTTCATTGACTTTCAGTCAATATGTGTTACATTTCAGAACTCTATAGATTTTAATGTTATTGTTTGTTGCCAAAACAATTCATCAGAATGTGTCATTGTAACCCAAGGTTATAAGTACCAGCAGTAGATACCAGCCTCTATATAATGGATTTTAACAAATTGGTATATTTACCTTAAAACAGTTTTGTGACACAAACTTGCCAATGAATCTCAAAGGGACAAAACATGGATTATTCGAAGTTGTTTTTGAAGTTCCACACATATGAGAGGTTGATATTAAGAATGTTTGCCTTCTGGAATGTTCCATAGGACAAGTATATAAACAAATACCAAAATGTTTTGTACACCTGGCAAAGGCTAACAATGTAGTGTTAAATGCACCAAAACAGAACAAGTCCTAGTGCAAAGTTTACTAGTGACTAAACGGCTCCAAGATGAAAATATTGTCTGAGTCTGAATGAGTTTCAGAGATGTATACATTCTTACAGACCTGAGTAGCAATCATCAACTCTTTGGTATGATCTCAGTGAGTGCTTATACTTTTTCTGAATTTTAAGGAATAGTTTTATCCACTTGTTCAAAATCTACCATTAACTTCACCATCTCTTTAATATTTTAAAGCAGCCGGAGCCTTGGGAATCTGATCGAAGTGAGCACTGAAGGGAACAGGAATAGACAAGGGTGAGGATTATGTCTTATTTCCCTTCCTCAATTTGTGGCACTCGTAAGAGATCAGCTGAAAAGCCTTCGGATTGGAATCTCAAAGTCTGAGCCTCATTACTCACCAGCTCTGTGTCATTGAACAAAATCTCTTGAAAACTGGGCTGCAGCTTCTTTAGTTACCAAATGAGTACCATAGTGTTTGTTCTGTCTTTGGCACTGGGTAGTAATAAGAATCAAATGAAATAATACATATAGAATTCCCTTAAAACTACAAATGAAAATTACTAGCAAAACAGAGTTTAGTTATAGCTGTAACATATGATGTTCAGGGGAATGGAGTGAGAATTTTTGACAAATGATTATATTGTTCCTGAATCAATTATTAAAGAAAAAACCAACCTTGCCCAAATTTTATGGTTTTATTTTGAGGGTAAGTAAGAAATTAGCCGAAATACCAATGAAAGTCAAAACAGTTTAAAAGTATAGAATAGTATTGATTTCTGTCAAAACAAAATTCATGTGAGCACATACATTTTTAAGTCAAAACATCCAGTTGATTTAATTTCATGTTTTTGTTTGTCTTTTTGTTCAAAGTTTCAAAGACCTTAATAACCTCAAAAATGTGAGTCCAACAATAGGAAAATGTATTCAAGGGTAAGATTTAATCATTAATAATTAATAATAATTAATAATTATCTCCTCTTTTTCATCTCATGCTAACAAATGCTTAAAAGTCACCACTTCAGTTGATTAATGCTAAACCCAGGGATCATCAAGAAAATCCATGTAACCCTGGGTACCCTTCATATCTGAAATGTTAAAGATTTCAGTCAAGTGATTTCTGTTACATTTCAGAGTATCCTTCGATTAGGTCCAGAGTTGCGTTCCCAGGATGAAAAAGACATTTTTATTTGTTGATTTATTTACTTTTCTTAAGCAGAAGGCATGGTACAGTAGATGGTACAGTATAGATGTGAGTCTAGGCCCAGGCCTGCTCCTCCTATTTGTGTGGTTAATCATTTCTGTTTGGGTTCTGGTTTTCTCATCTTGAAAGTGTGGAAATTGGGCCAGATGATTTCTAGAAACTTCCAGAACTAATTCTGAAGCTGCAGTAAGATTGTTGGTGTCACAAGAAAGCCCAAGAATTCTAGACCTAGATTGCCTAGCTTTAAATTCCAGCTCTGCTACTACCTGTAGGGCTGGGACAGTGAGTTATTCTTTTTGTGTCTATATTAGGATGATAATACTTTGTGTCATAGGATTGGCATGCTCATTATATAAAATTATGTAAATTACTTAGAACAGTGCCTGGCACATCAAAAATAAAAAATATTCTAAAAACGTTTGTTATCACTCATTTTTCTATGCAGTTACTGTTAGGTCCCAATATAAATATTTATATTCAGCACTCAAAAACCTCAACTCTCTAAGATGATGACTATTTAAATATCATATGGTAAAAAATATTTCTGTTTTGACAAGTATTTGCAATTGTTTGATGTAAATCTACCACTTATCTGGTTATTTCTTCCATTATTTTTAAGGGGCCAAAGTCTTGACTGTCTAATCAAAGTGGTTCCTGAAACAAACCAAGGGTAAGGTTTATGAAACTCTTCATCTCTCAGTTTTGAACTCAGCTTTAAAAATATGATAAAAGCATTGCCCCACCATAGACAAAACCAATAGTTGGACCTAAAATTGGTAGCCCCGTGGCTACCAGCCCAGGGGCTGATATTTACGCTCCTGTTTGGCACTCTTGAATGTGGGCTTTTGTGTGAGAGAGAATTCCTTGAATTAGAAGAATTATTCCTTGCCACTGTGGGATTTATGTTCCATGCTTGAGGCTTCCTTCCCCAAGAGCTTTTCCCATGAGATAAAATACCACCTCGAAATAATTTCCTAAAGCTAAGCTGCTCAAAGAAAAGTCTTCAGGTGATAAAGTGTTTTCCTTCATCATTTATTCCCTCTCTTCTAGTTGTGTATCACCTAGGCAGTCCTAAAGTTGGGCAGTCATTTTGTAAAATTATATTCTATTCATTGAAAATATAAAGACTGCAAAGAATGACATTTTTATTTTATAGAGAATTTTCTGTAAGGGGCATCGTGTTAATTAGACAAAGAGACATAGAACTATGACATTGTAAACATATTGTTATACTAGTTTGAATATGAGTTAAATATATAAATTCCAAGGTACATATCCTCTTTCTGACAGATTTCCTGTCTTACTTTGCATATAAGAATGCTTTCTATTTTTAGTTTTAGCTATCAAACATTGTTTATTTAGACTAGATCAGAGGTCAGTAATTTTTTTCTTAAAGAGCTAGATAATAAATAGTTCAGGGTTAAGGGGCCAAAATATCTCTCTATTACTTACATAGTAAACTGCCAATATAGTGAAAGCAGCCATAGAAAATATCTTGTAAGTGAATGGGGATGGTTATGTGCTAATAAAACTTTATTTATAAAACCAGGTTGTGGGCTGAATTTTGTTTGAGGGCTATCATTTGCAGACCCCTAGACTAGATGGTATTTTATTTGGAAAGCGGATGAGGGTTAACTCTGAACTTGAGGATAACCAGCTCCCGGATCCTGCCTCACTTAAATATGTATAGTTTCATTCATTTTATGATTAAATTGAAGATTTCATGACTTTTTATTTGAATATTCAGTGCTAAATTGTCTTTAAATTATGTTCAAATAGGAATAAAATTCTATTGCCAGGCACTGGATTCAGAGACCAAGTAATACTTTACATCACAGATTAAATTGTCTTTTGTTTTTCTCCCAGGAAGACTTAGTTTCTAAAGGTGAAGGTGGCCGTAATTTGTGACCTTTTCTAATAGCCACATGGTGCTGTTCATTTCACTTAGTTGTATGTATGTTTTTCCCATGTGGCAGTGAGATTTTTGAGCTCAGAGCACATTTACTAGCTGTGTAGTATTGGACAAATTGCTTAATTTTTAAGCCTCAGTTTCTTTATCTGTGAAATCAGGAGTTAACTTTTTCCTGAGTCATTAGAAATATTAAATGTGATTATGCTTGTAAAATACTTATTTACTGCACGTTATCTACTAGTATTATTATTATTATAGTTAGGTCTTTCTTCATCATTGAATAAGGATAGTACTCCTTGATTCTTAATTTAAAGAAGGTATAAAAAATCTTTATGAAATTACTACCATTCAACTATTTTTGACTCACAAAATGATATTTAATATAATTTAATATCATAGAGTACAATAATTTGCATGGGAAGGTATGTACATAATAAAATGAGTTTATAGATTAGTTCCAAAGATCAGTTAAATGAAATGCCTTTCCAATCTTTCTTTCATTTTTGCTTCAGGATGTATAATGTGTTGTTCCATAATTAAGGATAGTATGTTAGATTTCTTATTCAGGCCTTTTGGTTTTAGGGCTGTTATGAACACCCAGTGTAATAATAACAGTATCTCTTTAGAGTTGTTATTGCCTATTTCAGTGTTTAAAATGAAAACATAAATTATATGATCTGTACTCTTGTTTGTTATGATTTGGCTTTGCATGAAGAATGATTTGTATGATTCTGAAATGATTTAATTAATATTTTGAAGTAGAATTAATATCATATCTTCAGATTATATAGATTACCTGCATAATTTAGAATCAGGAAATAATTCTTTTTAAAAAGTCTCAGTTTTTAAAAACTTAGTTTCTTTTGGAAGGGAGAATCAAAGAATACATGGAAATGATAAATAATTTTTTTCTAGTACCGGGGATCAAACTCAGGACTTCGCACTTGCAAGGCAGGCGCAGTGCCACTGAGCTAAATCCCCGGTTCAATAATTTTATACTTTTGTCTTGCTCACTTTAACCTCTAAAAATACTCTATGCTAATTCTACTACACAAATATAATATGGAAAATAAGGAGTTCATGAGTAATTGTACTGTGAGGCTAACTTGATAGAAACGTATGTAAAACTAAATTTTCATATATATAAAAGTGTTCACAAACTAAACTAATAGAAGCTACCTGTTTTAAATTAGTCATTTGATTCAATATTAAGGCTGAACAGCACAAAATAATTGATTTGAGTTGACTTTGTCAGGTATTGAAACTTAAAACATTTATTTTTAGCAATCAAGACCTGAATAATCTCATCAAACTGAATCCCTCAGCAAACAAATGGTAAGCTTATTAAGATTATTGAAGACTCCTGAGCAGTTCTTCAGAGTACATGAAAAAATAAATGACTATTCAGCTAAGGACATTTCAGAAGAAGATATGAAAAACGTGGGAACATGTTGATTTGTTTATGTGTAATAATACTAGACAGATTTTTATTATTGCTTCCATTTATTTCATTATAGTATTATTGAAAATGATAACACTGAAGCTAATTCTGTATAATTACTACTCAAATTCCTTTTGACACAATAATAGCTTAAATATATTGAGTGTAAATTTGTAGTTAATAAGTTATAAGTTCATAAAACTAAATAAGCCAAAGAATATTGGCAGAAGCATTGTACAAATGGAAGGAATTACTGTGGATGCCAAGAGAGAGGGAAGGAGTATGGACTTGTGGTCCAACTCGTCCAGGATTCAATTTTGATTCACTCTCAACTACCGCTTGGGTATCTGGCCACAGGCAGTCTAAATCCTTGTGAAGCCCACCCAGCCGAGTTTTCTTTTCTTTCTTTCTTTCTTTTTTTTTAATTCAGGGTGGCTTTGTAGTTCAGGCTGGTCTTGAACTCACTATTTGCCCTGTCTGGCCTCAAACTCATGGTAATCCTCCTGCCTCAGCCTCCCAAGTGCCGGGATTATAGGTTTCGCCACCATGTCTAGTGCTAAAGCCCAATTTCTTTATAGGGGATGGTAATTATATACCTCAGTAAGTTGTTTTGAGGATAGAAATGGTAATTATTGTATATAAAGTAGCAACTCAGGAAACATTACTTTTCATTCTAGATTCCTTTGAGTAATAGTAAATTTGCTGATTTCCTATTGGCTTTGACCTTTTACTTTATTTTCTTTTAACAGTGAACAAGATGTTGATAAACTCATTAATGTAAATCCCAAAGCTGTCAAAAATACTGCTGGGTAAGAGAAAGTGTTATTTGTTTGATTGTTTTTCCTCCATAACTAATTAAGGATATATTATGAACATAAATAACATGTGATCATTCTATTTGCACGTTGAACATAGGTCTTGAAATAACAGCATGATTTTCATATGTCCCCGGAAACCTAGGTATTAACTATATAGTCCTGTTAATAGCAAGAAAGAGAGGAGCTGAAAACAATGTATGGTAGTGACTTTCATTCTCTCAAGCAAAGTTGTTGAAAAGAGAGGCCAGACAAGGAGGGGTGGAAGTAACAGAGTGAGTCCATGAACTGTTGTTCTGTTTGTGTGGCATTGATATTAGTACTTTTGACTCTGGAATTAAAATTTATTAATGATAGTTGATTTTAAAAATAGACCTAGACACTTCATTAAACTCATCATTAGTAATATCATTCACTTGCTTTTGGAAGTGTTCTGAAAGTGGAAGTTTTATGAGGTTCATCGTTCCTTTCTTTATTTTTATTTATCTATTTATTTATATATTTTTTTGTTGTTGTTTTTTGAGACAGGATCTCACTATGTAGCTCAGGCTGGCCTTGAACTCACTATGTAGCCCAAGCTGGACTTGAACTCATGGCGATCCTCCTGCCTCTTTCTTTCTTCTTTTCTTTCTTTTCTTTTTTTTTTTTTTTTGAGATAAGATCTCACTATATACTCTGCTCAGGTCTCAAACTCACTATGTAGCCTAGGCTGAGCTGAAACTTGTGATCTTCCTGCCTCAGCCTCTGGAATGCTGGGCTTACAGTCATGTGCCATCATGCCTGGAGAGGTTCATTGCTCTTTAGAGAGTTTACTGCTCCCACAAAGCATATGAACCTAAAATTTGATAATTTTAAAGTAGTTCTCTAAGATAATGAAATTTGCTTTTTATCTGTGGTTATCGGAAAATTTAAAAAGTGTTCCATATTAGATTGTGAAAAGGAAAGAACCTCAGAGAATGTTAGCCTAGTTAGTTTGAACAATTTTGATAACTACTGTTCCAGTTGAACCTAATGATTCTGTACAAGAGGAAATGAGAACTCAGAAAGGTTAAGTTAGTTGACTAGAGTCATAGAGAAAATTAAGGGAAGACTAATAGTAGTTCTGTGATCTCTTAGGCAGTGAATAATTACTGAGCACCTACCAGGTTCACAGCTTACAACTAGGTATCATTAGTTGCACATTGGGTATAATTATAGGCTGTGGATGCCAAAAAGAGAATTCAGTAGTCACACTCAATCTTATTAACAGCAGGCAATTAACATAGATTAAAGCTAATTATGTACCAGGGGCACAGAGATATTACTCCAAGACAATAATAGGTTGTCAATTTAATATATTGCATTTTGGAGCACTCATGTACTGCTTGCTGAATATAGAATGTATTGTCAGTGAGTTGCATTTAAAAAGAAAAAGAGCCTTAAAAGCAGATATAATAAACATGATAGACAATAAAGTTCATATTCATAGAGTCCTGGAGTAGATGTTGGAGATGGAAAAAGTGTGGAGATGATCCAGGCCAAGTTCCTCACTTACAGATGAGAATACTGAGACCAGAGGGCAGTGTTTTAGGTCCTTGATATTCTGAGAGGATCTGTGATTCCTAGACCAGCTCTGATCTTTACACTACACACACAGACTTTGACCTTCAAATAAACGAAAGCTGGTTAAACACCTCAGGAAACAGTGGAGGATATGAGAATAGGAAGGTTGCTCCTGTGGGACAGCCAGGTCGTGTCCTTTACTGCTGTCACAGGGTTATTTGAAGAAGTACTTCATGGGTGACAATGGCACAAGTGTGCAGATGACTGCAAAACACTGTACAGCCTTCAACTCCATGGAAGTAACTGTACTTGAATATTTGAGTGCTTCCTTTCTTACCACCTTAAAACAAAACTAATGACAGCAAGATCTTGAGTAGGAAAGACGATAGACTCTAGATATTAGAGTCCTTTGTTTTCAGGATTCATATCCTGAAAAAATGACAATATATTTTCTGTTTTCAATTCATGGAGATAAATTGTATATGCTATCAGTCAGAGAAATTCAGCACTATTACTTAGATCCGTTATATAAATATACGGTGTTACCTTTTTAGAAGTAGTGATACGGCATAACATATATTTATGTTTTCTGAGCTAATGTTTCTCAAACTGTGGGCCATCACCCATTAGATGGTTCTGTAATTAATTTAGGAGTAGCAGCCAGCACTTCTCCCCATTCAATAGAATGAATCAAATAGAAAATATGAGAGTCCCTTTTATGTAGTAAGAGATTTTTATCATGTAATTTGTGTGTGTGTGTGTGTGTGTGTGTGTCTAAAAGAGAGTATTTGGGCTATGACACAAAATATGTTTCTTATTGGCCTTTATGAAACAGCAGTTTAAATACCACTGATCTAGATTGTTGGATGCATCAGAATTTTATGCTTAGCAGAACAAGTCCAACTGAAAGTTTTCATGTTTGTTTTTGCATCTTCTACAGTGCTTATCCTTACTGTCACACAAATATTATAAGTAGTTACACTAAAATACATTGCAATTAATTTTTTGTATCATAAAGCTGGGGTTTTGAATATATTGTCTCTTCTACAAAGGTGTATCCCTTGTTATTTTTTTCTTTTAACAAATTGACCTCATTTTAAGCATTGTTGTATTTTGGTATGGGTTAGTTTTGTCGGAGATTTTCTTTAATCTCTATTTTTTCAGTTAATCATCAGAGCACTTGTTTTATAACAAATTTTTAATCAGTTTATTCAATTTTATTTTGGATAATTCTCATTTGCCAATCTTTCTTTTACTAGTTTTTATAGATACCAATATTATCTTTGATTAAGAATATTATTACAGAGCATAATTCAAAATAATGAGACTTAAATTAGGCATCGTTCATGCATCATAGAGACCTGAGAACCAAGAAAATATACCCAAAAGAAGGACATCAAGAGCTGGGAAGCACATTCCGTAGCAAGGTTGAGGACTGGAGGAGGGAAATGTTGACTTTTTCTTAGGCCTTTTGATGACTCATTAAGTGGCTCCCCCTCAGCTTATAACTTTGCATCCATCTTTCTTGATAATTGAGATGCATTTAATTTTTCATAGGAAAAAAGGACTGCTTGGGGAGGAGAGGGTACAGGGATTATCAGTCCTGCTACCCCTTGCCATGGCACCTGCTGTGTATTTCTCTGAGTATATATTATAAAAGGGCTTAAGTGGACACTTTGAAAGTCCCTTCATTGAGTCTGACTGAGGTGAGTGGAAAATAACATTCTGTGGATGAGAAAAGAAACTCTCAGAGCTTCAAATGGGATGTGATCAATTTTCAGGGTACACAAGGAAACTGAGTTCAGTTCAGTTTTTCAGTTATCATAGAGGAAAGAAAAGTCACAATTTTGGTGGATTCTTAGAACCCTCTTTGCCAAGTTTAATGTTAAGAGTAATTCCAGTTTTAGAGCTTAATCTTTAAAAATAATTGATATCTTTAGTTGGTGAACATGATTTTCAAAATGGCAAGGGTATTAGAATCAGTTTGCAATCTTTATAAATTTGAAATATTCCAGAATGAAAAAATTTTCTATTACTAGACGTTGGCTGTGAAACACTTAGCCTTCATGCCCTTGTAAGTATGTTCTGACAATAAACTGTGTGAAGTCAGTAAGTTTTCTTCTCTTACAGCATACTTCTTTCTCTCTTGGATTGGTTAGAAAACATTTCATGGCTCTTCTATACCAAAACAATATGTCTCATACTATAATCCTTTCCTCCCACTTTAAATGAACTTAATCTTGATTATCTCAAGCCCAAGAACCTTTAATCATTTTTCTCCTTAAAGAAACCAAGATTTTGATAAATCAAAGGGAATCCTAAAATTCTCGTCAACAATCAAAGGTAATAGAACTATGTTGATTTTAATATTCTTTGGTTATAAAAATGTTTTGACTTGTTATTATTTCAAGTAGATGTATAATCTTAGTGATCTTACCAAAAGAAATTTACCACGATCCTTCTCTCTTTCTATTTTTCTAAGAAACCAAAATCTGGATAACCTCATCAAAGTGAATCCCTTAGTAACCAGAAACAATCAAAGGTAATCAAATAAAAACCGTCAATTCATGTTCTTTCTATCTCTTGCCCCCAGATGAAATAGATTTATTGAGCTAACACAACCAAAAAAACAAAAACAAAAACCTAATACTAACCTGAACTTTTTCTGCTCTCTCTCTCTTCTCTCTCTCTCTTTTTAACAGCCTAGACGTGGATTATTTTATTCAGGTGAAGCCTTCAGTTCTCAGAAATGTTAATAGGTAAGCGGCCTTGCCTGACCAACCTGACATATTCCCAAGATTTCAGGGCAGGAATTTTTCTTCTTTCTTTGTTGAAGAAGGCCTCTGTTTTTTCTTTTCTGTGTCTTGCATGAGGACACACTTATGAACCACGTGTCTCCTCTTAAGGAAACATATTATTTGCTTCTGGAATCAATCACATTGTTTTGAAATGAGTGCTGGGCTTCTTATTTTCCCCAAAACAACTTAATTTTTTTTGACAACTTAATGTTTATTGCCTACAGGAAGTTAAATTTCAAGCCTAAAATGAAATATGAATAAAGTTAAACAAAATAAAATATATATTTTGAAGAAGTTGATGCTTAGAGTCTTCAAAATCCCAGATCCACAGCTCATCTGGGCTCACAAAATTTAACAGCAAATTTTAACCTTGAACTTCCGCCTTGAGCTCTGAACTGTCTTTTAATTGCTATTTTTATGTGATATCTTTTACTTAAAGTGCTTTATTAATTAATAATGCACCAGAGTGCACTATGTTACAAGTCCAAATTGCTCTGCTAACTTGAAATTTTATCATGCTAATATCTGGGAGTCACAGTTCAAACATTCTGAGATGAACAGAACAAATTATTTATGAACTCTCTAGGGGAAAGAGAACATAACACACTGGCCTAAGTCTTAGCCTATTTTCTGCAATGGTGCCTTATTTTGCTCTGTTTGTTTTTATCATTGGAGTGTTAGGGTCTCTAAAGTAGAAGGGACATAGGCAGTTGAACAGCAATTGTTATTTAAAGTAATTATTGAGCACTAGGCAAGACTATATACATTTAATCCTAGAACAACACCATGAGAAATGTATTCATGCACCTTATTTGTGGAAGAAGAAACTATAGATCAAATATACAGACTATCCCTCCCAAAAAAGAAAACACAGCATATATTCCACCTTGATACTTCTGATGTCATTGTCTCGAGGAAAAAATACCAAAACTCTATGGTTAAATGATCTCACACTATTTTTTCCACCATCCATATACCCTTCTATACTTTTCCTCACACCTAAAGGACTTTAATCAGATATAGTTATTCTAGAGAATTGTTAGAATGACAGGGAGAAGAGAAAACACCTGCAGCATAAAGATATTTATTTTCTTGATTGTGCTTGTGGTCAAACGTAGGGCCTCAAGCATGCTAAGCAAGCCCTTGACTATTGAGATATTCCCTAGTCCTTATGCAGATTTTTTATGGTAAATATCAGCAGACTTTTTGATGTAGATCCTACTAATGATAATTGTACAGATAACTATTGAGTAGAACCATTTCTCCACACTGGTATTTGTTAGGATGGATTTTTCTTTATATCAGTAGCAGGTTTAGGAGGTTCCTGATCATGTTGGAAATCATTAAGTTTAATAGCCACATTGTCCAATAACTAACAGTGGAAGATGTACTGTTTTGCTTTTTCTCTTCCCTCCCCCTGTCTCTTCCCTCTCTCTGGCAAATATGCTATGTTGACAGTAGTAACTTTTTCCACAAGATCTTTGCCTTTTGTTTTATTGCAAGAGACTAATTATTTTTTAAAGGTAGTTCAGCTTAATCAAATATCTATAGAATGAGGACATTTTCCCTCATATCAATATGACTGCTAAAGACAGGAAATTAAAAAATATTGGCCAACACATTATTTTAAGATGACAGCTAGGGCTGCAAATCTAACCTATGTGCAATTATTCTTTAGTAACATACCAGATTTGATGATAATCATCAAGGGTGTCCAAAAATTGTCACAGAGAAGAAAACAGAAAAACAAATGAACTATTTGAAAAGAGTGACTTCATTTGGTTGATTCAGCCACCACCGTGGCTCTTGATTTTATTGCCCTCTTGATTTTAATGCAGGTAGAGAACAGGGTATTTTGAAGTACCTCTCAATAGAAAAGACAACCACAAGGCTCTTTTACATCAATTCAGTGAGACACAAGTGCTTATTATTTAATAGTATAACAGCAGTGAATCCGAGTTCTTTTATGTGACTTTGCTGACATTTCCAACAGCTGTATATTTACTTCACAGGTAGGGGCTGAATAAACTTCAGTCATCAATCAGAATGTAAGCAGCCCTCTCAAGACCCCTTCTAGGAATACAAAAACCAGAACAAATGCAGATGTGCACAGAATTTTCATTTATTCAGCAAGAAACTGCTTGACTTTTAGCAGTAACATGAACAAATATTAGAGATGTTCAGTTGTCTTGCCTTACAAAATATCGTTAGACTAATTATCAAAATTCCACTCCAAATGGATATTGAAAAGTGTACCTAGTGACACTAAAGCCTTTACAACAAGAAAAGGCATCATTAAAATCCCATTTATGGTATTATACTTCGATCTTTTTAAGGACTTCCTATTTGTTAATACATATTTCTAACATTTTCATATTTTAATAAGAGAGAAGTTTCTTCCTGTCTTCCTACTACGTATTTCTCATATTTTTGTTGAAGACATAAACTTCGGGCATAACCTTAATCTCTATTGCTTCACTCCCCACAATCATTCAACCACTTTGGTTGCATCTCCAAATAATCTCAGGAAGTAGTCTGAGTCCCTCTGCCATCCCCAATACCACTGCAGTCTAGTTTACTGTTCAGCCTCCTAAGTGGTTCTTCTGCTGCCAGTTTTGCCTTCTGTCCTTCAATCCATTTACTACATTGTGCACTGATATTCCTACTACACAAATCTGATCATGTCATTCTTCTGATTGAAATCTTTCATTGGTTTCTCATTACTACTGGGTCATGGTCATATTCCTTAGCCTGGTCTCCAAAGGGCACAATGACCTGGATTTTGTGGGCTTTCCCATCTGCATTTCCTGTTACTCTCTCTCTACCTATGTTCAAACTCCATCCACACCCCCTCTGACTTGCATACTCTTTGCTCCTCCATTGCTATTGCATGGATAAGTTCTACCTATCCACTCAACACAGCTGTCTCTCACTCAGACTCTAGGAAGCCTCTCTGGCCCACTATGTCTGCATCAGATGCTTCTTCTAGATGTGTTCAGGCTCTGTCCTTCCTGCCCTACAAAATATTTCTCTTGAAGGCATTGTTATTTAATCATCTTTCTCTGACTATAAAAATCTTTAGTGGTAAGGACTGGATCTGTCTTGTTGATTTATCTACAGTGCATAACACAGTGGCTGAATGCCTGCCTCGTATTAGGTGTTTAACAAATGTCCTGTGAATTAAAGGCTAAATCTTAAATTCACCAGTCGTTTATGACAGTTCTCCTAGATCAAATTTATTGCCTTCCAGCTCCAACATTCTAAGCACACATGATTGAAAAGAAATGGAAGAAATATCTTTTCTTGTGACTGGTCTCTCTGCATGAGCATTGGCTGTCTTGCTCATGACAGTTTCAACAAGATAAAGTAAATTAGAGCCACTGAAATTATCTGTTGCATTTTATATTTAATGTTTATGACATACCATGGTATGTAATAATTATTACATTGTACAACTTCTCTATGGATCTGTTAATTTCTTTAATGTAAAATCTTAAAGAAACCCTCATTGAAAAGTATTATAAAAATATGTAAAAATGCATCAGATTGGGCCCATTTTGCTATGTCAGTAAGTTGAGAAATTGTATCATTATTTCACTTAGTCTATATTCCTTTCAGGGAGACAGATATTCTTTTTATTTATTTATTTTTTATTCTTTTTTTTGGTACCAGGGATCGAACTCAGGTCCTTGCGCTTGCACAGCAGGCGGTAAAACCACTGAGCTAAATCCCCGGCCCCCAAATATTCTTTTTAAACTAAAATCTAACACCTAAGATTTAGTTACTGACACAAAAGAAATACAATAATAAACTTTTTTATACAGAGCCTCTTAATTTTGTAAGTGTGTTTGATACTTTACCAAAGCAAATTAAATTAGTTGAATAGAGTGAAACATATTGCTGGCTATTAATGCATACCTCCTACACTCACATGAGAGCGAAAGAGCAGTTAGAAGTGAGATAATAACTTTCTCTCATCAGATCTTATCCTAGCAAAAGTTTTATAGTAAGAGCCACAATTTGTTGGTGCCTCCGACTCCAATTTTCCCCTAATTTGCTCTGTAAGGGAGTGCTACACACCTTAATGTGGCAAGGAAAATAAATTGCACTATTATAACATGAATAAATTCTTATACTCAAAAATTGGCCTGTGGCTTTACCCCATACATAACTGATATTTTCCCCAAAAGTTTTGAAATCTACACTTGAAAAGTAGCATTAGTTCCAATAGTTAAACAACACTATGCTTGTTAGCAATTCCTTATTATCTACAGAGACTCGATGGTTTTGTTGGTATTAATTCCAAGTGCCCATAAATGTACACAACTGTAGGGTTTTCTTTTTACTACAATTTCCATGGAAAGGGTTTGGAATCAAGCATTTGCTCAACCCTGCAGCATTTGGTGTAGGCGTCTATAAAAATCTATTTTTCACGCTCTGACTCACAGCTCTTCATCTTCTGCCACAGTATAAAGACACCATGCAATAGATGTGGTCTTAATTAAAGAACAAAAATTTATTTTTACACCCTTTAACACCCTTTAAATTTATGGGCAGTCTGAACTTCTTTTATTGGATTTTACAATCTAATTGATGATACTAATCATGTAACTAACTGAAACAAATGCACATTTTGTGGTTTTTATTGTCTGGGACTTTGTAGTTTGTTTTACATATTAGTATAGATTATTCAGATTGAAATCTTATGGCCCGCTCAACTAATCTTGATATGTGTATTCAATAAAATAAGAAAAATGCTATGAAGTCACTAATAAAATGGTTTATTTTATAATTCATACCACTTTGAGAATACGCTTCTCTGAAGGCAGGCATAAGCTCTATTTTTTAGTTATCTGCTATAGTTGCTTGATTTGTAAGATTCTGGCTTCCTCTCCTTCCTGAGGTACAAACCCAATCATCCCCCCACCACCACCCCTCACAATGGCTTTGGTCCAAAAGAG